AATGTGAATATATTAATGTTACTGAACTGTACACTTAAATATGGTTTAGATGGTAACATTTATGTGAATTTTACTGCAGTTAAAAATGACTTCTGGCAGTGAATACAAGTTCAAAAACTTTCCCCAGTCACGTCCAATACATTTTTTATACAGCAGTTAACACCAGATGAAATTATCTTCTGTTTACACATTTATTGCTAGTTTCTTGCTGCTAGAATATAAGCTCTACAAGGCCGGGGATTGTGACTAGTTTATTTACTGCTGTATCGCCGGCACCTATTACAGAGTTTGGCTTACACTAGTTGCTCAATTAAATAAATGCTGACTGAAGGAGCATGGCCAATCCTGCCACCTATGCTCTGGATTCTCTCCTATAACTTAGAAAATGGATGATCACTGTTCTCTTGTCTATTCAACATCTACTCAACTGGATTTTCCCCGCCAGTCTCCTCACATCACCCTTTAGGAGCCACTCTGTCCTCCTCTCCTTCAGAGCAAAACAGAAACCTAATGAAACCTGATCAGATTCACTGTCTTCATATTCTGCCCCTGCTCCTCAGTCCTTTCTACTTTAGTTCCTGCCTTCACTACCAGACTGATACAGTTCTTGCTAAGGTGACCAGTGACCTCCACATCACTAAACCCAAAGGACAGTTCCTGACCTACCTTGAACTCTCAGCAGTATCAGTGAGCACTGCCATCTCTTTTTCCTTTGGTTTTCTGAAAAAAACACAGGGTCTTCTTCCTGCCTCTCTAGTCATTCCCTCTGTTTCCTTTGCAAGCTCATCTTCCACTACATACCCACTGAACGACTGGAGCTCCACAACACTCAGTCCTAGGCTCCATTCTCAGTCCAGACGCTGGACAGGCAGTCTCATCCTGACTGTATGCTTTAATAAGCAGCAAAATAGGCAGAAGGCTCAAATCTCTAGCCTGGTCCTATCCTCTGGACTTCAGACGAGTAGTTCCAGCTGCTCTACTTGACAGTCATTTGGATGTCTCAACACAACCTAAACTGAGCCCATCACCTTCCACCCCACATGTCTGACTCTCTCCCTATCTCAGGTTACTTCCATTCATCCATTTCTGCAATCGCAAACCTCAAAATCATCCTTGATGCTTCCTTCTCCCCAAACTCCGTATCTAAGGCATCACCAACTCCTGTCCATTTTAGCAGCCAAGCATCTCTTGATCCCACACGTTTGAAGGACCAAGCTGTTCGCCATTTCTTGCCTCACTGCTTCACACTCACTAATGTGACCAGAGATCTCTAGGTCACTAAACTCGAAGGACATTTCCTGTCCTTACCTTACCAACTAGTGACCCTTTATATGAATGATTTAGTAGGCTGAGGGGTCTGGCCCCTACCTATCTCTTTAGCCCCTCCCCTGCCCCTATTAATCCTTCTCCCCATTATAATCTTGGATCTAGCTATACTTGCTTTTACTCCCTGGAACGCCCACGGTGCTTCCCATACAGTCTTTGTACACACTATTCCCACTGCCAGAAAACTTTTCCAGTCAATCTGCCCAATTAACTCCTGGTTTTTCACCATCATTAGCTATGTAATTTTGGGAAAATTTTACTTCTCTCTGTGTGATGACAGAGCCATTTTCACAGAGTTGTTGACAGGACTGAGGTGGTACATGTATGGTGCCCCCGACAGCGGCTGGCACTAAGGGCTTGTCATCAGCCTGATTATCACCTTCCTAAATAGGCTTTATTCCCTCTGTTACATATTTCACTACATTGCACATCTTTTTAAAAACATTTGTCATAATGTTTTTAGTTTTTATTCCTGTGATTTTTAAAAAATATCCTTTGCCCTAGCATAGTACCTTGCATGGGATAGGGTGTTCAATAAATATTTGAATGTTTTTAAAGGCTCCATCAAAATTCCTATTTATAAATGACTGAAGACATTGAATAGGTACAGATAGGTAACAGAATTTGATCTTATTATGAGGAAAACTGGCCTGAAATAAGTAATATGAAAATACCAATTCTTCTATTTGGTTTTTTTTTTTTCTTTTCCTTTTTGTCTTTTTTCATGTCCAGCAACGGATCGCAACCCTCGGTGTTGCGCCCGCACCTCGCTCAGCCAGTGAGCAGGAACCGGTCTGTATGTGGGATCCGAGCCCTCGGCGGGAGTGCCGCCGCGCTCCCAAGCGGCGCACTGTAGCAGTGCACCACCGGGCCGGCCCCTTCTATTTGGTTTTGAAAAGGGTAGATGCCTAAGTACTGCATCAAAGAGAGCTGATGACAAAAAGAGCTGAGGCTGTTACTTGATTACAAATCTAATTGTGATAAAGCTAGTAAAATAACTGAAATAATCTTCCCCCACATGAACAGAATTAAGTGCCCAGATAATGAGATGTTCTCATTCCATTGTACCCAGAAACTAGTTACACCATGCTCTTTATTGTTGAGGTCCTTGGGGTGCACCGAGCTGACAGAAACGAGGTCCAGCAATGACTTTATAATCAGGACAGATTAAAAGCACAGGTGTTCAGGCTGAGGAAGAGCTGATAAAAAGGGTCCCTCTCTTCACTATCTCCCAATAAAAAATTGCTAACTTATAATGACGGACATTTAAGAGAGGACTCTGTAGCAAGTAAAGCTAGCCAACAAAGCAGAACAAGCTCTTGGAGTGAGTACCTTATTTGCTTTGCAAACTTTCTGACTCCTATTCCTGCCTGAACGTTTCCTTAAAATGGACTGCCTCAAAAATCTGATTTTATCTTTTTAAAACATTATGTAAAATGTGTATTTTATTCTGTAACACTTAGGCTTGTATTACCATAAAACTGTTTTACTTACCACCTAGTAAAATGCCATCCCATGAAGACGTTCCTTGTTTATCTTTTGGCTTCACACATTACTTGGCACAAAGCCCCATGTGCCTTTGGGAACCACAGTTTAAGAGAACTACTTAAGAAGGTGGATGGAACTTTGTTAGGGTAGGGAAGAGGGACGTTGTAGAAGTTGTTCTCTGCAGGGAACCCTTCCTTTACAGCATGGCTCAGCCATAGTTCCCCTGCTTTTAATCACGTAATAAACTTGTAAGTTTTCTGATGGGGCCAATTTCTCATAGTGCTTCAAACTGTGATTTTCAAACTATGCTATAATTTCCTAGTTCAACACCAGCTTTCTCCAGATAACTTAAAGTTCTTCAACTAAAAATGTTTGAAAAACACTGCTACGGGGCAGTCCTGAAGAGATTTGGGCCATCAATATATTTAATTGTTTCATAAGGCCCTGTTTTTTAGCCACAAGATAAATTTAAGAGGGTAAAACTAGTTATGCCATATTCCCATTTCTATTCTAAATCCTCTGCTATAGCTGGTACTCAGTACTACCTACAGCCCACAGATGGGTGATTTGGAAAATGAGGTGAGGTCTGTTTCTTATTTTTCCTGAAATTCAGGATGAAGAAAAGGCATTTTTCTATTTTTTTTTTTTTAAATCTTATGCATCTGAGGGAAGCCTGTTTGCACAACAAAAAAGTTATGATTTAGGCTGCCTCACTTGAATGGAATTTTCTACAGAAATTGATTTAGGCCAGTGTTTAACAATCAGGGGTGATTTTGGCACCCACGGGACATACGGCAATGTCTAGAGACATTTTTGGTTGTCTTGACTAGGGGAAGGGGGAAGAGGTGCCTTTGACATCTAGTAAGTAGAGTCCAGAGGTGCTGATAAACATCCTACAATGCACAGGGCAGACCCCACGAAAAAGAATCATCCCACCTAAAATGTCAATACTGAAGGGTTTGAGAAAATGATTTAGGTCAAAGTTAGTTGAGGAATTTCATGGGCAAATAAATAGTGGGAATAGATTCATTCTCACAACCCTTTTCCCAAACTATATTACTTTTTGAAAATCATTCTATCGTTGTTTTTCAGCTATCTAATCAAGTACAACATTTATACAAAGAGTTCCTTTCAAACTTGGGACAAATATATCGTGGGTTACATAGAGCACTTACATGGCTTAAGACTCACAGCTTAATGTAAAGCAATTATGCTCCCTTTTCCCCAAATAGATTTAGTTAAAACTCCTCAATTCAACTAGGGTTAAAAAAAATTAACCATCACTGTAAAACAACTGACATTTATAACTGTCAGCTGCACTTGTTTGCCTGCAATAATTAATTAATTCCCTGGAAAGGATGACCCTTCTGAAGGAAATGATGGCAAGATGATATAAGTACTATTATATTTATTTACTTATACACCGACTTCTTTAAAAAAATAATTTGAAGTGGCATTATACATAAGTAAAATTATTTTTAAACTCAAAAGATTGGCTGCTCCTTTGTTATTAATCCAAGATTTTTTTTTAGAGCCACAACCTCTATCTAACATGTTATAACTTTCAAGTTCACTTCAATTACTATTTTCCATGGTTGCATGTTTTCAAGGATTAGGTAGGCCTTAAAGTTTTATTTATTTTTGTTTGTTTCATGCAAGTTGTAGTCACACCATTTCAAATAAATGGCCTTTTTCTAAGTTATGGTATTAAATCCAACATACATAGAAAGAATGCGATATGTGACTGGAGGCAAAGGCTGAAGTGCTGCAGCTGCAAGCCGAGGACTGTCAGCAACCACCGGAAGCTAGGAAGAGGCAAGGAACGATCCTACTCAGGAAAGCCTTCAGAGGAAGAGAGCCTGGCTTAGCCATCACCTTGATTTCACACTTCTAGCCAGCACTGTATGATAATTTCTATTGTTTGAACCACCTGGTTTGTGGTACTTTGTTGTGGCAGTTTAGGAAATGAATAGAGATTTGGTATTACTTATTTGTCAAAACATACTCTCAAATCCAGCATTGTTATTGGTCATCCTGGTATTTTATAGTGGGAAGGAGATATTAAAATGCAAAGAATAATTCGTGATTCACTTTTGTTGTGATATTTGAAAAATAATTCCAAATTTAAATTTAACCATACAGAAAACAAAGCTAAGCCGTTATTTTCAGAAATAAGTCTTTCAATGTTTTATCATATTTGATAGCAGCTTTTTTTATTGGTTACAAAACCTAAGCCCATATACAAAATTAGGAACACATTTAGATGCCTCTTTTGAAAGAAGATTTTTGTCTTTTTTAACTGAGTTTAAAAAAAAATAAAAACAATGCAATTTTTAAACACTGTTTTGAAAACTTAAAAGTGCAGCAATATACTTAGTTTCCTTTATCTATGAAATGGTGTAATTCCAATTCAAAACTGGTAAGGTCACAACAAATTGAATCAAGCAAATGCATACATATGTCTGCACTACTTGATGCTAATGTTCACTTAAATGGTAGTTTGCACTTAAAACACAAGAGTAAATAGGAATCGTCACAGTAGAGGCCCAATTTTAATCTCAATGTGTGCAAAATTTAAAAGGTAACTGTCAGTTTGGAGAGTCCAGAAGAAACTAAACTGGAAGGGGTACAATTCACAATATCAAGAAGATTTGGACTTTTAAGGGTTTCACTGAAGTTTGTGACCTTAATTAGCTTTGACTTTGTTATTCCTACTTTTAGTGAACACCACACAGTTTCAAATTTTAGACTAGTGTCTGAACAGGATGCAGTTAACTCAAAATTTGGATAAAGAAAAAAAGGCACAATGAAATTCAACTCAATTTTATGTGCACAAGAGTTGAAAAAATCTGAGCCACCTTAAAGAGAAATTGATTCTAAAATTTATAAAACCTATAAATAATCAGAGGCCAAACCACTATATTAAAACAGATTCTCTAGCAAGTAAAAATCTTGCAGTTTAAACATACGCTTGTATCCACTTTAGATACAAGACAAAACTCACTCTTTAAAGTGGCTCCACCTTGGCAGATACATATATTTGTAATGAATGCACACCTGCTACGTGTTGTTTATCAGTGAAAACACCCCAGTTGATTCACAAAGCTCTGATGGCATCTGTCTCATCTTCATCACAGTAAATACACCCCCTACAGGATAACTAAATTAGTTTAGATTTTCTATCCCTTCACATCAATGCATTGGGAAATTATACCCAGTAAACAAGACCAACAAAATCATCTCTGTGACAGCACAAATTACTTAGTTAAAAAATTTTCAAACTCATAGTCTTTCCTAATAACTGGGTCAGACAATTTACCAAAAGCAATGACTTTACGCAGCAATACCAGATTTTGCAGAATTACTTAAAGATCACTGCAAATCAGGTTTATGTTAAATAACTGCAGATTATTCCTCTACACAGATCCCTGTCTGAATCTTTTAATATGTGAAGATGCTTTTAGAGTAAGATCTGAATTAACTTTCCCAATACTCAAAGAATGAAGTTTTATGACACTTCTAAATAGTTGCTGGTTTGTTGCCAACACATTATGAAAAGCACTGGTTACTAAGTAAAAAATATTTTAAGACTAAATTACAGTAAACATGAAAGCTCCACAGTTTAAACCCAATGTAAATCAACCATATCCAATTATCAAATTAAAACAAAAAATATTAACTCCTGGAAGCTGAAAGCAAGATTTTTTAAAAAATATCACCAATGAATATTTTAGACCTTTGCAATTTCTTTCTTTTTCTTTTCTTTTTTTTAGCTTTTCTTCATTTATAGTCAGGGACTCTTGCTTTCAACTTAAACAGAAGTTCAAGTCTGTAACAGGTTGTATGTAGCTCAGGTAAAATACCATGCACAGCATTTGATTACTTCAAAACAGCAGGAACACACAGGCTGAAGTAAGTGGTCAAATAGGGCTTGCTGTTCTCAAAAATTAGGTATAATGGCGAAAGCATTACCATCCGTATCTAAAGTTCTTCCTCCAACCCTGGCTTCTGAGGCAGATAATAAAACACATCAATTACTGGTAGATGAAGTATAGTTTTTTAAAACTTATCTTTTTAATTGATAACCAAGTTTCTTGTTTTTAAGTTACTTGTCTTGTGTCAGTTCCACCAATGAAAATCATTTGGCTTGTACTTTAAAATCTATCCTTCCACATAAAGAATATGAAAATATGTGTGTGGAGGATAATGATGGAGGCTCAGATCATACTGCACCTCTTTAGTCTTCCGTGTATATGCATCATACCAAAGTGTCTTGATCCACAGCGCACCATTTTCCAAAGGAATATCAGTGGGCAGCTGACATGCCACCACTATGGAATATTCTAAACCGGAGACTGTAGTTGTCAGTGTGTGGCACCAGGGAACAGGGAAAAACAGGGTAGTTGAGATTTAAGGAGAATTCTAAAACAGTTTAGGAAATCATGCATATGCATTTACAGTCCATGTGATAGTGACTTTTGGCAACCGCAAAGTGACTGAGACATGGCTTGCTTTAGAAGCATCAAAAACGAAGAGGCATGTGTGTTTTGGAGCCTTTTTTGCTGTTGTTGTTCTTATCATTTGGTAGCCATCTGGTGGTGCTTCGTATTGAATGTGGGAAAGATGCTGCACTCAACTGAACTTAAAAATTAAATTCTTTTGTTTGAAGGTTGGCTGTTGGGTCGAAATTATAAGTACCTCCTTGTGTTGCTTCAGGAATGAGGCTAGGATCTTCATCAATCTATAACAAGCAAGAAAAAAACCCTTATTATGTAATGATACTATGCATTACGGTGTAAGCTGAGTTGATTTTTTTTTTTTACCTCTTAGGAGCGAATTCTATATGAATGCTTTAATTATCTAAAAATATTTGAGTAAGTCAGTAATAATTTTATTCAGAAGTTTAACAATTTAAAATTGAACACATTAAAAAACTGCCCCTTTCTTACCTTGTTGTATCTGTAGATTTATTTAACCTATCTGAACATACATTATTTCTGTAATTACTATTTATTCTCAGTTAACAGATTATAAATTAAACAAGAACTGTTTTTTCAATTTTACCTTATAATAAAGTTTCCTATAAAGTATTTAAGAGAAGTGATTATGGAGTATCTAATAGAAATACAATATAAACTTGTCATAATAATAATAAAAGGAAAACTCAGCAAATTTACATTATATATAGGTTTTAATTTACATGCAGACATATATTTTAATAAATACTTACATCGTCACCAGAGAAATACTGATCTATGATTTCAAATGCTAATTTATATATGTCTTCATTTTCATGTTGCTGCAAAACTTCAATTTTCTCCAAACCTGATAAAAATAAAACAATCAAAATAATTAAGGAGATACTAATCAAAATTGTGCTCATTTTAATCATGGAAAAATTTTAAGGAGAACACCTCCTACCCCCCAACTAAAGATGATAGTTTGTTTAGAAAACAGTTAAAAACCTGAGCTGCTCTTCTTAGAAGACCAGAATCTCACTAATTTCTTCTTCCTTAGAAGCCCTTGAGGAACCCTGGTCCCTGAGGCAGGCAGTCTAAAAAACTCCTAAACACTCCATTTGACAGATGAAGAAGCTGTGGCACAGAGATGTAAAGGGATTTACTTCAAGTTACATGGCAAGTTAGTGAAAGTACTAGAACTGAGATCACCCCAGATTGCTTTAATATAACCATACGGTCTCTTACAGTAATTTTTATCTCTGTTTTCTGAATGAAATTACTTTTATTATGACAACGAATATAAGTTTTTTAGTAATAGTAATAGTATGATAACTTCAGCATGCAGTTGTGGCAACCATAAGACCATTACAACTGATAGGAGTAAAACACAATGTCTAGATGACTCAGAAACCATTAATGTTTTCCAAATAGTATGGAACAGTATTTCCCAAAGTGAGGTCCACAGAATTATATAACAGGTACAACATGAAAAAGTATTTCACTGTTAATGAGCTTGAGAAACAGTGGATTAAAAAAGCTTTTAAGTTACCTATTATAGTGGTTCTCAGGGCTTTTAATTTGCTCTCATGCACTGTGCCTTCAAGAGGAGTATGTATTATTGCTTCCTAAAAAGCAACATCAATCTCTAGGAAGGTTATAGAATGACCTTTGCAACCATGTTTTATGAAGTATAAACTAATGTTTTCTGGAAAATTCTTTTGGAATACTAATAGAGTGAATAAAGAACAGCAATATACTTTGATTACTTAACAATGTATCCTAATAATTTTCTTTCTTTTTTTTTTTCCTTTTTGTCTTTTTTTTTACTGACCGGTGACGGGATCGCAACCCTCGGTGTCGCGCCCGTACCAGGGACCGGCAACGGGATCGCAACCCTCGGTGTTGCGCCCGCACCACGCTCAGCCAGTGAGCGGGAACCGGTCTCCACATGGGATCCGAACCCTCGGCGGGAGCGCCGCTGCGCTCCCAAGCGGCGCACTCTCCAGTGCGCCACCGGGCCGGCCCTAATAATTTTCTTTCTAATGAATTGACTTTAAAGAAAATAATATTCCAGAGTCGCAGTGCTCTACTACTTTTCTTCAATTAATCCACTCTCACCTCCACATTCTTCTATTATTTCAGCTATTGTGCTTGCTTCATCACCAGCCATTATCAGAATGTTTTTTAGGCCATCTAGAACCACCTGAACCACTTGAGAATCTTTTACTGACAGTAAATTACAGAACGGTGGTATTACATTCTGCTGAACGAGGTACTCAACCTAGACAACGAAAGAGAAGAGATATTTTTATTTATATAATTATCTTCTCCCCCAAAAGAACACAGTACAGAACCTAAAAACAATTGGCAACTCCTAAATGTAAGAGAGAAATGTACTTTCCAATATGAACAATCATGACAGTTACAGTTTTGCAAACTTACCTGATCTTTTCTGCCACTTATCGTTAAGTTGCTAATTGCCCAAGCAGCTTCTTTTTGTGTTCCAAAGTCCCCCTGAAGGTTAAAAAAAAGAAACCATAAAATAAGTTCTGTATCCAAAAAGTCTTACTTATAGCAGATTAATAGACACAATGAACTCATGACTGACCTTAGCAAGTTGATGAATAATCATAGGGATTAATCCAGCATCTATTACAGCCTGAACTTGTTGCTGGTTGCCTGCTGTTATGTTGGAAAGGAACCATACTGCTTCCTATAATTGAAAAAAATACAGGGCACCTTTATCTGAAAAATTATATGTTTAATGCCTTTATATTTTTAACATATTTTATATATACAGTAACAAAATCACTTAAGTTGTGTTAAAGAGACTGCATCTAAAAAGTGACTAGGTTATTAAAAAGGATATTTCCATTTATAATATTTGGGCTCCATTAACTGGCATTTATCCATTCAATAACATAAGCCTACTATAAGATAGACATTATTCTAGGTAATGGTGATATGGCAGTGAACAAAACAGATAAAAATCTTTATTCATGGAGCTTACATTTCTGTGCATTAGCTCACTCTAAAAGATGGAAATAAATACTTGTAAATACCGAATTTAACACTGCTTCTAATAAAGGTGAATTGTTTTATTTTAAAACATTCGCTCACAAGATATGGTCATTCAAGTATTCCATAGAAAATTAAGCATGTGACTAGCCTAGAATGGGTCTATATAACATAAATATTATTCTAACCTTAAAGAATTTATAAGTCACAAACAGTTTTATTGTAATACTAGTGTCAACTATGTATCTTCTTCCTCCTCCACGACTCAAAAGATTTGACTGTAAATTCATTTTCCCATCCAACTGTGGTAAGATATTAACAACTGGTGAATCTGTGTTTAGAGCATGTGTGTGTGTCTACTATACTATTCATGCAAATTTTTTGTAGCTTTGAAAATTTTCAAACTAAAATGTTGAGGGAAAAAAACCAAGTTGGTAACTTCTACCTCCAGGGTCCCATGATGATCTCAAGATGCAAATAACATAAACTCTCAAGGTGAAAAACTTTCAAAGCAACTGTTTGCTAAAGCTGAGCAGGTATCTATATGAACCTTTTCTTTTCCTGCCATGATACCTTCACTTAAGAGCATACTGCATCACAGGCCAGAACCTTTCTCTACCCACTTCTGTGTCTGTCTGGCTTCCTCATTTCTCAGCTATTTCCAATTATGCAATGCATTCAGCTATAAAAACCATCTATATTGTTGAAATGTCTACAGTACAAATAACTGGCCCAGAGTCTAAAAGTCTCTGGCTTCTTCCTCTTCACTGGAACAAATGTATCTATAAAACGTGATTTTTGACAACATACTTCTCTATAAGAATCCAACATTCAAATTATAGTCAAGCAAGTATATAAATATAGTCATGACACAGAAGAAAAAATGGCCAGTTCTGCTGGGTTTGGGGATGGTGGCATTTAGGCAGATAAAACTGCACTGAACTAAACACAAATCAGAATGAGAAACCACTTTACACCTTATTAGAGAATAGCTATAATAATAATACTTTTTTAAAAATGGAAAACAAGTATTGATGAGGATGTGGAGAAATGAGAACCTCACAAACTGTTGGTATGTAAAATGGTGCAGCTGTTATGGAAAACAGTTTGGTGGTTCCTCAAAAAGCTAAACATAGAATTATCATATGATCCCGCAATTCCACTTCTAGTTATATACCCAAAGGAAGTGAAAGCAGGTACTCAAACAGATATCTGTATGCCAATGCTCACTGCAGCATTATTCACAATAGCCAGAAGATGGAAACAATCCAAGTATCCACTGACAGATAAATGGATAACAAAATGTGGTATAAACATACAACGGAATATTTATTTAGCCATAAAAAGGAATGAAGTTCTGATACATGCTACAAAATGCATGAACCCTATAAACACGCTGTGTGAAATAAGTCAGGCATAAAAAGACTTACATACTTAAATACATATATAATTAATAATAAATTTGTATATCAAGCTTGAAATCTTAAAAAGAGCAATGTTTTACTCACATAATCCTTGAAATTTTGGCACTCAATTTTTAGGTCCTAACTAATTTTGTAAGGACATTAAATTATGATCTCTTTGCTTAAAAAATTAAAACAATTACAGAGGTGATTTAACACAATTCTTATCTTAACCGCAGTCATTTTGGAAAAAAACACAAATAAGTAGCAATAGAAATAAGGAAAGAGTTAAAAATAAGATACACAAAGAAAAGAAATATAATAATAAGGACGCTTTACCTTATTTATCTTCTCTTTTGGGTGTGATAAAAGATTTGGGAAGTGTGACAGGACATCACAATTGAGAACAACCTGGGTCTGCTCGTCAGTGCCAGTCACTATGTTGCCAACAGCTCTGAGTGCTGCTGTCTGGGGTGGGGATAAAATGTTTTTGTAAGTTTGTTTGTTTATGATGAAACTGATTCTATATTTTTCAAAATCCTGAGAAAAATTCATAAATGCAAGGTGTGAATAACTAACACATACCTCGTTCTTATACAAAGCGTTAATTAGACAGAGCAATTCTGACTTTAAGTAATCATCTTTTGAAAAAATAAAATTTTATGGAAAAATTGTGTGAAAAATTACTGGAAAAAAGACTCAAAAAATAAAAGGAATTTAAAATTAAAAAATAAATTCCTATTTTTTAATAGCTATTTTTATCCATTACTAAATCAGTGCTGTAGAACAATTTTAATAAAGGATTTCCACCTAGAAAGTCACTTTGGCAGCAGTGGAATGAACAGATATATTGGCACCTACCCCTGATTAGAGTGAGCAGAGAGAGAAAGGAAATGCAGTGAGGAGGCTACTGCAATTACGTAGGGGAAAAAACATGGGTCTTGAACTAAATCAGTATCTCTAGATAGATAAGAAGAGACAGATTTGAAAGCTATAAAAGAAGAAGAATTGACAGGATTTTATAATAGAATGGGAAACAAAAGGAGGAATCAAGGTTTCTAGCTTATATCTGCTGTCCACTGACAGAGTATAGTAAGAGGAGCAAGTTTATGGGAGAAGACAATCTGTTTCATTTTTGTCTGGTTAAAATGACAACAGAATGCTTGAAGGAGTTCTTAGAGGGTATGTATAAGGGGTCAAAAACGATTGGCTTGGGGCCGGCCAGGTGGCGCACTGGATAGTGCGCCGCTTGGGAAGCGCG